CCGCCCTGCCTATTTCTGCCGTGAAGCAGTAATGCGTTTCGGTTTGAAGGGTGGGGCAGCCGTTATAACTATACTGAGACCTTAGAACTTGTATCTCAAGGTGGTTGGCGCGTCTACGTTGTAGATGTCTATGGGCTCCAGTAACCACTTAACACCAGGTGGGCTGTGAGCTCGTCCACCAATCTAAGCAATAAAAAAAATATAATAAAAAATAATAATAATAGAACCTCTTGTGTGTCCGCACGGGTAGGTACCACCGCCCTGCCTATTTCTGCCGTGAAGCAGTAACGCGTTTCGGTTTGAAGGGTGGGGCAGCCGTTGTAACTTGTACTTGAGACCTTAGAGCTTATATCTCAAGGTAGATGGTGGCATTTACGTTGTTGATCTCTATGTGCTTGGGTAACCACTTAATACCGAATAGACCGTGATCTTATCCACCAATCTTATTAATAAAAATATAAAAAGTCCTTTTATGAAAATCCTATAAGTCTTCGTGCAGTTTCTAAGACACCAAACAAAAAATATATCGGCAAAATAGGCACTATTTTTGCACCTTTTAATTTGACTCCGTTGCCGAATTAACACTCAGCGAGCAGTTAGCTATTCAAGAATCTGGAGCAATACAAAAATCCACATAAAATCTATGAACCATATGAACCATGAATTATAATTTGCGTAATCACTGGTGGTAGGACCTATTGTGAGTCCGCACGGGTAGGTACCACCGCCCTGCCTATTTCTGCCGTGAAGCAGTAATGCGTTTCGGTTTAAAGGGTGGGGTAGCCGTTGTAACTATACTGAGACCTTAGAACTTATATCTCAAGGTGGGTGGCGCATTTACGTTGTAGATGTCTATGGGCTCCAGTAACCACTTAACACCAGGTGGGCTGTGAGCTCGTCCACCAATCTAAGCAATAAAAAAAATATAATAAAAAATAATAATAATAGAACCTCTTGTGTGTCCGCACGGGTAGGTACCACCGCCCTGCCTATTTCTGCCGTGAAGCAGTAACGCGTTTCGGTTTGAAGGGTGGGGCAGCCGTTGTAACTTGTACTTGAGACCTTAGAGCTTATATCTCAAGGTAGATGGTGGCATTTACGTTGTTGATCTCTATGTGCTTGGGTAACCACTTAATACCGAATAGACCGTGATCTTATCCACCAATCTTATTAATAAAAATATAAAAAGTCCTTTTATGAAAATCCTATAAGTCTTCGTGCAGTTTCTAAGACACCAAACAAAAAATATATCGGCAAAATAGGCACTATTTTTGCACCTTTTAATTTGACTCCGTTGCCGAATTAACACTCAGCGAGCAGTTAGCTATTCAAGAATCTGGAGCAATACAAAAATCCACATAAAATCTATGAACCATATGAACCATGAATTATAATTTGCGTAATCACTGGTGGTAGGACCTATTGTGAGTCCGCACGGGTAGGTACCACCGCCCTGCCTATTTCTGCCGTGAAGCAGTAATGCGTTTCGGTTTAAAGGGTGGGGTAGCCGTTGTAACTATACTGAGACCTTAGAACTTATATCTCAAGGTGGGTGGCGCATTTACGTTGTAGATGTCTATGGGCTCCAGTAACCACTTAACACCAGGTGGGCTGTGAGCTCGTCCAACCATATAAGCAATAAAAAATTTAAAAAAACCAACTATGCTACATCCCTAACAAACGACCACAAGATTCTTCCATAATCTGAGAAGGAAAGAACTGCGCAATATGTTTCTGGGGATCGGTGACGTGGGTAGCGCTCAATACACCGAATGATTTATGTTACGACGACTTTGTACGATCTTCAATTTGCAATTTTTACCCGATAATAAGGGTATGACGGATATTTTTACGTGCGGAATTCACGAGCATCGGAAAGCCAAGATTAATGGATCGACGGAAATTGCAACGTTAAGAATAATGAATTCGCAAGAAAATTTCCGATTGTGTGATGTTTTAATTATGTTCGTATATCTTATAAGTTAAAGACTAGATGACATTTCTTGAGATGTAGGGCCGCGATCATAGCGCTCGTCCTAAAATTCACATGACGTATGTATCCAGTGAAACGATCTTGAATCCCGATTTAAGGGTGGGACCATCGCAATTAAATTGAGAGTCTAACCATTGGGTTTGATATCCATCTTAACAAGCAAAATATAAGCTCAATTTACCATTAAATAAGAAAAATATGCGTCACTTCATAACCTTAGAATCTTGTTGACAGCGAAATGAAGTCGTCGTGGCGCAACGCATTACTGCTTCACGGCAGAAATAGGCGGGGTGGTGGTACCTAACCGTGCGGACTCACAATATGTCCTACCACCGGTAATTACGCAAATTATAATTTTGCGGGTTTGATTTTTATTACACCATGTTATTCCTTCGCCGTGGAAGTCAATCGCGAACATTTGTTAGGTACGTATTTAATTAGAAAAATCGGTATCTGCCTGCGAGATTCGAACACCGTTGCATCGCTTAAGACGAACGCACAGGACGTCTTATCCTTTAGGCCACGACGACTAGGTGAACATGATAACTAGTTTCTTGTTAATATGTGACATATCAAACCATGAAAACGTTAATAAGCCATCCGTTTCTTTTTCAGGATCAACAAAAAAGCCGGCATGTTTCGCAAAATCCTTATCTAAAGTTGAGCTGCAAGCAATTTAAGTTTTAACTGTTTAGGCATTTTACTCTAAGTAACTAAGTGAAGTTTTAATTACTTTTGTCTTTGTAAATGTTTTGCTTTGGGATTGCCTTTCATCAAATTATTTGCCACAAAAACCAATGGTGAAATCGGAAAAACCAACAGAGCTTTAAAAGTTTTTATATCGTCGTGGCCTACAGAATAAGATGCCCGGTCTAAGTACATTGAGAGAGCCCTTTCTCTGCCGGTGTTTGAAGCCCACAGGCAGCTTTTTTTTATTGCTTAGATGGATCGACGAGCTCACAGCTCACCTGGTGTTAAGTGGTTACTGGAGCCCATAAACATCTACAACGTAAATGCGCCACCCACCTTGAGATATAAGTTCTAAGGTCTCAGTATAGTTACAACGGCTGCTCCACCCCTCAAACCGAAACGCATTACTGCTTCACGGCAGAAACAGGCAGGGCGGTGGTATCTACCCGTGCGTACTCACAAGAGGTCCTACCAGCAATAAAAGTTACCAACTACAGATTAATTTTTTCTACCTATTCTAGTGATCTCGTGGGGTCATACTAGAGCAGTGCTTCGCAGAGTCTACCACCGGATCGGAAACGCGATCCACTGAGTATATCCGGCGAGAAACTCACAGGGCTGTATCTGTTGGTTAATTTGTTCGCTGATCCTTTTGTCGCAAGCGATGGTGCGCGGTGCTTGAGGTAATATTTCTAATGAAATAGATACTTAAGTCATATTCACGAAGTACTTCTACAATGAACGGAATCATGTCGTGTAGTAAAATCGAACCCGCAAGAATTATAAACATTTTTACCAAGGGTAAGGTATCTTGTAAGCCCACAGGGGTGGATATTACCACATCAACAGATTTCGAAGGATGGGGCAGCCGTTATACTATAAAACGGAGGCTTACAGCTCGTGTCTCAAAGTCAGTGGTGAGAAGAAGCAGAAGGGTCGTCATGCTCCCTTGCGGGGGCACGGAACACCTCTGCCCGGGTAGAAGCTCCCTGCCACTCAGGGCAGGGGTGAGATAATGAAGAAGGGTAGTTGGGGAGGGTTCGGTATGCGTGCTCGGTCGCGGCATACATCTATAATAATATATACTTATATATAATACTGATGGGCTTAAAATGTGGAATGCTTCACGATTTTGCGGGTCATCCTTGCGCAAGGGGCCATTCTAATCTTCTCTGTATCGTTCCAATTTTAGTATACTAGTATAGTATAGTACTGCCGAAGCAGTCAGTGGTGGCTTTTAAGTTTCCGATGTCTATAGGCTCCAGCAACCACTAAACACCAGGTGGGCCGGGAGATTTTTTAATCATCTAACCATTGAAAATGCTGAAATTCAAAGTATACACTAATTACTTTTGGAAAGTGAAAGCTGCCACAGTAGCTTTCACTTTCCAAACTTACTTACTCTGTTAGCCAAATTTCATAACTTTAATATTTTATTCTGGTGATCCTGTGGTCAAGACATTAGAGCAAAGCGGTAAAACCTGGTGGTAGTACCCCTTGTGAGTCCGCACGGATAGGTACCTGCCTATTCCTGCCTATTCCTGCCGTGAAGCAGTAATGCGTTTCTGTTTGAAGGGTGGGGCAGCCGTTGTACTGTAAAAACTGCTGAGACCTTAGAACTCATATCTCATGGCGGCATTCACGTTGTGAATGTCTATGGGCTTGGTAACTACTTAGCACTAGGTGGTCCGTGAGCTCGTGGGATTATGTGGGTAAGCAATAAAAAAAACTTTGTCATGTTTTTTGTTTTTATTTTAATTGCTTGGATGCTTTTAATGTCTTCGTTCTTTGATACGTGTGCATGTTTACAAGTTATTCGGACATCTTGTTATTATTACAAATTTATTTGGAAGATTCCTACACATAGTTGTTTTATTTTCTACCTATGGTGATAGCCTGGAGACGCTATATCAGCTTCGCCCTAAGGTGTAGGTGTGCTCACAGGGTTCAAACCGGAGTGTTGCTAACCCTGGCCCTACCAAGAGCCGTGCTTCGCAGAATCTACCACCGGACCGGAAAGGCGACCCACTGCGAAGATCCGGCGAGAAACTCAGTAGGCTGTGTCTATGGGTTAATTCTCTCGTCGAGCCCTTCGTCGCAAGCGACGGATTCGACGAGGAATAGATAGATCGATAGATACCTCAAGCTAAGTAAAGCATTTCTAAAAATTACATTATTAGTCAACAATATACAAATAAAAAATAAAATCAAAACTTTTAATGTTATATATTTCATTGGCTTTGAAAGTAAAAACATTATTAGACTCGTTTTAATATTCAGTACAATATCACTTTAAATTACAAAAAGGCATTCAAAATTAACGATACGTCCTTGGAGTAATGACGGGTGTTCTGCGAAAAAAAAAATAGAGAAACTTTATTAAATTTCGGAGCTTTTTCATCAGCTTTGACGAGCTTGTTTTATAAAATAACGCTTATTAAATTTATAACGATGTTGCTTGCTTTTTATTTCGGAGTACCGATCGAATTGTACGGAGTACGAAAGCTGGCTTATGACATTAAAAAGTTGACATCTTCATCGTAAAGGTTCGAACAGCTAAAGAGAACTTTTAAAAAAAATGGAATTTTTATAGCACCACGTGTTTCATAAAAACAATGCGTATCTATTACTTTTTTCTTGAAATGGTACACGTTCTGAGCCCCTCCGATTGTAACTTTGTCCCAATCTGTTCAAAGAAAAAACTCAGTCGACACAAAGCCGAACCTCATACGAGGAATCCGCGCCTAGGCGTCACGCAGGGCTTATTCACTTGACGGTTTGCAGATGTTGAGAGCAGACCACGAACCTAAGGAGGTTTTTAACGGTCCTTACCCACAAAACGGCTCACCTTGCACTCTTTTAGCTGACGTCTAATCACCACCCTTGAGAAAGAACTTGGGCAGAGCAAGGGGGTTTCCGCGAGAAACAGTACAACTAGACTCGTGGTGCCACTCCAAGGAAGCCCGATAGACGACCTCGGTAACCGCCCAAAGGGTGCCACTGGTATTCCGAGATACCTCACTGGGTCCGGGAGACCACGCTTTAGCACAATCCACTAAGATTGAAGCCTCTGCGATCGAACTCCCTCCGTACCTGGAGGTGGCTCCCCGCTGGATTCTTTCCAATAACCTTACACGACCCAAACCTTGGACAGTTGACCATTGCAATCTGCCGGCTTTCTCAAGCTTGCCCCTCATTCCATGCCTCTGAGATACATAGCTGGGTAAGCCAAAAGCAGCATGGAGCCAGGGAGCGCGGCAGTCAGTTACCAGGTTATTTACTCTGCTTCAAGACATATCATAATCTTTTTGGTTGTGAGGAAGCCGATATATGTAGTTAAGTGAGCCGGAAATCGGGTATTAATCGCTTTTCCGAAAAAATCCCTATGTATGTGCTACCACATTTATCTTATGGCGACCACCTAAAGAAGATTCTGGGCTACGTTGTCGATAAGTAGGATCAAACTTAACTAGTCCTCTCACTTTGCCTTGGCTTTATTCTGGCATAATATTACGGATAGTCTATTACTGTTAAACAAGATAGTAAGTACATAATGCACGCACAGGACGTCAGACGTATTTACGGTGGTAGGACCTCTTGTGAGTCCGCGTGGGTAGGTACTACTACCCCGCCTATTTCTGCCATGAAGCAGTAATGCGTTACGGTTTGAAGGCTGGGGCAGCCGTTGTAACTATACTGAGACCTTACAACTTATATCTCGATATGGGTGGCGCATTTACGTTGTACATGTCTATGGGCTCGAGTAACCACTTAACACCAGGTAGGCTATGAGCTCGTCCACCCATCTAACCAATAAAAAAAAATGAATGTCTCAGAATTAGAAGAAATTACACCGCTAAAATTGATGAAAAGCTTAGTAATGGTTCTTCGATTATGTGTAGGTATTATGTGTACACTCTTAAAGCTAACAGCTGATGTTCTAAGAATTAAAATAATAGTAAAAAACATAGCAAACCTGTAGGTGTTATAAGAAATCTTATCGAGTCTCCACGTAGGGAATTTTCTTGGTCGAATCACTTTGACATTGGGAGTGACCCTTTGACTGAAACGAAGAAAAAGTTGATTTGATTTTTGTTTGTAGTTCAGTAAATGTCTTCACTCCAGCCATGAGCGGGCCCTACGTTCTCTCCATAGCCTATTAATTCGTTGTCCCACACATAGTTCTAGTTATGGTCGTAACTCTTTCGTCGTGCAATCTGTTCTGCTCTGGAATGCGCTTCCTCTCGAGATCAGGACTATTACTAACCGCTGCACGTTCAAGTTAAGGGTTCGGCGAATGTTGTTGGAAAAGTTAGCGGAATCATCATGAACTTATTAAGATGAAGTTATTTGTTAAGGTTTATTAATATATTCCTTTTAATACTATATAAACTATTATATATATATGTATATATGTGTGTATGTATGTATGTATGTATATACTTTTTGTAACTTAATATAAATTTCATTGCACCTATCACTATCCACTCTGCACTACCTTTGGTTGACTGGTAGAGAATGCCTTGGGCATTAAGTCCGCCAATGTAAATTTTACATGAAGTGTAATAAATAAATTAAATAAATAAATAAATGAGTTCATCTACTGGTGTGGAATGATTACTTAACCACCTGTATGCAAACCGGCAGATTTCTCTGATCGATAAGCACTATAATATTATAATAATATTGCAGTATGGCGTGAGTATTCTGAGGCGAACTTCCAGATAGAAAAGAAAACCAAAACAATGCAGACAAAATCAATCTTCAAAAGAATTAGAGGTAACCTTATGGTTGTAATATCAAGACTCATTATGAGAACGAAAAAAAATTCTTTCGGCATCAAAATAAATGGAATGCGATAATAAAAAAAAAAATAGCAAATCCTCAATCGTCCGACATTCTTTGTTGCCTATTCATTATTAAAGCATCTTAAGGGATGACATAGATCTGCGGAAAGAATCCGTTTCTTTATTTAACAAATACAATTTTTTTAAATACTGACGTCATCGTACCGTGAGTAAAGCTCCAAAATTAAAGCAACAGTGGCTACGAAAATTCTCGCGTAACCAAAGCAGATGTAACCCTTGCCATTGATCTTTTTTTTTTATTACTTAGATGGGTGGACGAGCTCACAGCCCACCTGGTGTAAAGTGGTTACTGGAGCCCATGGACATCTACAACGTAAATGCGCCACCCACCTTGAGATATAAGTTCTAAGATCTCAGTATAGTTACAACGGCTGCCCCACCCTTCAAACCGAAACGCATTACTGCTTCACGGCAGAAATAGGCAGGGTGGTGGTACCTACCCGCGCGGACTCACAAGTGGTCCTACCACCAGTAAATTTAGGACTAATAGCCATACTAATAGCCATACTCTCTAGATAATAATAATATAACTCTTTATTTAACACCACATGTACAGAGTAAGCATATAAAACAAATAATAAAAGGTGACATAAATTGGCGGCCTTATCGCTGAAAGCGATCTCTTTCAGGCAACCTTGCAGGGAGAGGAATAAGTAGGCTTGACGGCACTATATCTTAATAAGCTTACATAAAAATAAATACAATATAAGATAGACTTACATACGATTAAATACAAATAAATACTAGAAATATGCAAGTAAAAACAAAATAAGTAGCAACTTGTACAGTTATATCGTAGGAGCCATATTATTGTGCAAGGTAGTACGATTTTAATCTGAACTTGAAAATTTCCGGCGAGGACGATCATTTGATGCTTAAGGGTAGTGCATTCCATAAACGGACTGCTTCAACCGTAAAGTTATATTAGATATTTGCTAATGGTCAAATTTACGAACTTACTAGATACAATCTATATATATTTTACCATAAAGCAGATATATCCAGCTGCTTGGAAGATAGGAAAGCTGTTAGGCAAAAATTAGACATTGACCTCATGTCTTCAGATGAGTGACAGAATTCACTTGAGTGAAATTCATGGGCGTATCACTCCGATTGGTACGTGAACTCAGCCATACGTGGAATAAATAAAAAAGCTATGAAAAAATATTGGGTTTTTTTATTGCTTAGATGGGTGGACGAGCTCATAGCCCACCTGATGTCAGGTGGTTACTGGAGCCCATAGACATCTACAACGTAAATGCGCCACCCACCTTGAGATAGAAGTTCTAGGTCTCAAGTATAGTTACAACGGCTGCCCCACCCTTCAAACCGAAAAGCATTACTGCTTCACGGCAGAAATAGGCAGGGTGGTGGTACCTACCCGTGTGGACTCATAAGAGATCCTACCACCAGTAAACTCAGCCATACGTGAAATAAATAAAAAAGCTGTGAAAAAATATTGGATTTTTGGGGGTTATAGTAAATGGAAGAACTTCCTTCCACCACGCGAGCGAAGTTGCTTGGTAGACCAACGACCCGAATTATTGTTCGAAACTTGTATGTTGATTCAAACAACTGTCAAATATCTTGTTTTGTATGATGGCTACCGCTACTCTCTATTGATAAACTGATAAGAAATGTTTTTTGTTTGAATGCACTGCTCTATATAATATACTAGCTTTTGTCGGCGACTTCGTCCGCGTGGAATAGCTCATAAATAATGCTTTATTTTAGAACAAATTTGGTTAGCATAAAAAACCTTATAGTGAGCCAACCTTGACATATAGATATATGCTGTCGCGGACTCTTTTTTAGATCTTTTAAAGGGGAATAATTCTGTCATACATTATTTTATCGAAACTTTAACCGTTTCTGCAGCGCACGCAGCGGAATCTCTCAAAAGGGAAAAAAAAAAACGATTTTGAAACATTCTTTATTGGTGCTCCGCTGGTATTGGTCTTAGCGTAATGTTATATAGCTTATAGCCTTCTTCTATAAATGGGCTATCTAACACTGAAAGAATTTTTCAAATCGGACCAGTAGTTCCTGAGATTAGCGCGTTCAAACAAACAAACTCTTCGGCTTTATAATATTTGAATATTAGTATAGATTAAGTACTAGTACTCACTTTGGTGCGTATGGTCCTTTTTCAGTTTTCCCCGGTATGTTCCGTCTAGATTTTGTGCCGAATGCGGAAAATTTCTTTTTTCTGAAAATATCCTTTAATTTCTCATCAAATTAATAATAATAAATAAATAAATAAATATTTAATAACAATCACGCCACGTTAACTGGTCCCGTACTAAGTTCGTAAAGAACTTGTGTTACAGGTACCAGATAACGGAAATAAATGTAAGATTTTTATTATACACGTACATATATATAATATACATCCATAACCCTGGAAAAGACATTTATATTTATCATACAAATATCTTCCCTTGGCGGGATTCGAACCCGCGACCCCCTTGTGTATTGACCATGTCACTTACCACTGCACCAGACGATCGTTAAATTAAGTTTCGATTATAAAAAAAAGAAACATCGTTATTGTTGCCCGATTATACAAGTTCGCGGTAAAAGCAGTCATACCTTAACATAAAATTCTGCCCTACCAAGCACTGCAATCTAATAACTGAACTACTGACCATCCATCCAAGAAATCCAAAAGTTAGAGGTCAGACAGGTGATGGTAAAGCAGTAAGCTAAATCACACGAATCTATGCTCTTACCTAATCAGGTAAATAATAAAAGTAGATAGGCTATACAGCAAATGTCACTCTAAAATAAAGAATGAAATATGGCATATTGCATTTTATAGTTCACCTTCTGGAACAGTGTGAGAGTGAACAATGACTAAAGACGCAGATGAATGAGGTCACAGCCTAATGAACGCCGCCACCCATATTGAGGTCTATGTCTCAATTCTGTAGCATACGCATTTTTTTGCAGTTTTGATTTTTGTTGTATGTACTCCTGTATATTCGCATCACTGGATACGATAACACCAGGTTTTGTCCTTTAGGCCACGACAACGAATTCTCTTACACTTGTAGGTAGATTCCGTACTAATTTTAAATACATAAGTTCTCCATCACAATACTCAATTTTAATGATAATTGGTCTAAAATTAGACTTCCGTTTATTTTGAGTTTTTGGATACCACACAACTCCTATAAGCTAGAAATACGCTTTACCACAGGAAAATAGACACTGTAAGAATTTGTAAAGGAGGAGTAATTGGGTAGGGCCGATTTATGGAACTATTTGTACAAATTTGAGGATCAGGTGGGCTATGAATTGTCAGCAATCTTCAATTTCAAAACAAAATTCCTCTCCAACATTTACTAACAGCTTTCCAATCAAAATGTCGCCACAAAAATGTTGCTTGTTTAAATTTCTAAACTGCTATCCACAGTAATCCTTTCGTAATTAGGCTCTTCGTGTGATTAGGTTAAGGGTAGGCGCGATCAGGATCCGATGGGATTTAAAGGATTTTCGTCTGGCCTCTAGTGATGTAGTGGTATTTCGGAGCGAAATTTCTGAGATATTTCCGGGAACATATCGTCGCTATATGTTCGGTTTGTAAATAAATAGCTAGGTACGCAAGATCTCTAATTTTGTGATTAATTTTTTTAATGCTCATAATATTGAAATTAGATAATCAAAGTCGTTTGGAGTCATCGTGGCCTAAAGGATAAGACGTCCGGTGCGTTCGTAGCTAGCGATGCACCGGTGTTCGAATCCCGCCGGCGGGTACCATCTTTTTCTAATGAAATACGTACTTAACAAACGTTCACGATTGACTTCCACGGTGAAGGAATAATATCGTGTATTAAAAACCAAACCCGCAAAACTATAATTTGCGTAATTACCAGTGGTAGGACCTCTTGTGAGTCCGTACGGGTAGGTGCCGCCACCCTGCCTATTTCTGCCGTGCAGCAGTAATGCGTTTCGGTTTGAAGGGTGGAGCAGACGTTGTAACTATACTGAGACCTTAGAACTCTTATCTCAAGCTGGGTGGTGGCATTTACGTTGTAGATCTCTAGGGGCTCCGGTAACCAATTAACACCAGGTGGGCCGAAAAAAAAACCGTCTTCTCTGTAAACAGATTTACAGCCCACCTTTTTTTAAATATTTAATTTCACTCGTGCCAATGCATCCGTGATGTAGAAGTTGTCTAGAAGCGCTTTCAACGCAATTCATAATTCCCGTGCGCCAAGGCGTACGACTTCATCCAAATTACAATATATATGTACTTTAAGTAGCGAAATTGCCTTTTTTTATTTTTTTTGCTACCTATTCGCTGGTAGCCTAAGAGGCTATTTCAGCTACGTCCGGACGAGTAGGTGAGCTCACGGGCTCAACCTGAGAGAATTTGCTGACACTAGCCCTTTTTTTTCCGGGTCGTGGGCCGAGCCTCCTACGAGGTCCCCGTACCTAGGGGGCGCGCGGGGTATGTGGGACTAGTCCGTGACTGCGAGGCCGCGGGCCCCAGGATGCTATCAGGGCCCTACCCACTAAGCGACTCCCCTGCACTCTTCGCCCAAGCGTCCATCCCCTCCGAACTCAAAACCCGGATAAGGTAAGGAGTTTACCGCGGTCAACACTACAACCAGACGGCGTAGCTCACCCCAAGGACGCCCGGTGCTAGCACTAGCCCTAGCAAGAGCAGTGCTTTGCAGAATCAACCGCTGGGTCGGAATCGCTACCCACTGAGACTGTCCGGGGAGAGACTCAGTGGGCTATGTCTATGAAATTGCCTATATTTAACCAGTAATAGTTCGCGAGGATCCGCTGGATGCAGGCAGCACAGGACCGGTCTTTGTGGCAAGGCTTGGGGAGGCCTATGTCCAACAGTGGACGCCTGTGGGCTGATAAGAAGAAGAAGTTCGTATTGCGAGCCCCTAGGGGTGGTTACCTCCGTCCCGCTTATTTCTACCGCAAGCCAACAACGAGTTGCGGCTAAAACTGTAGGACCACCGTTGTTCAATTGAGACTCCGGTCACAAGTCCGAAAGTAGATGCAAGCTTTCATTTTGTCATGAATCGGGCTCCATTACTCTCGTTACATAAACAGAGCTTAAGCTATTGAAATCGTGTCAAAAAATAAGCTTTACTTCTGCGGATAATGTATTGTGACTCCTTTGGGCGTGACTTTTTGTTTGCAAGGACCGCTGTTACCACACGGACAACCTTTCAAAGGCTTCAAGGCTGTGTACGCCGGGATTGCTACAGCTCTGTAACAAAAGATAAGTTTCGAGAGAGATAAGATTACTGCTGGTAGGACCTCTTGTGGATCCGTACGGGTAGGTACCACCACCCTGCCTATTTCTGCCATGAAGCAGTAATGCGATTAGGTCTGAAGGGTGGGGCAGCCGCTGTAACTTGTACTTGAGACCTTAGAACTCATATCTCAAGGTGGGTGGCGGAATTTACATTATAGATGCCTATGGGCTCCAGTAACCACTTAACACCAAGTGGGCTGTGAGCTCATCTGCCCATCTAAAAAGAAAAGAAAAGTCAATTGATATTGGTGGTTGCCTGATGTGCCTGAATTATCCAGTACTCCTACGAGTTTCCGAAAACCTTGAAACACCCTGTAAGCATCTGAATTTTGCTTTGTAAGTCCTCCATGACATCTATGGATCATTTATTAATTGATAACATCACGCTACGATTCTTTATCCCAATCGAGGATTGCATTTAACGACATTTTCGAAAGCTAAAGGATGCTATTGCCAACGAGAGCAAATTTAATCCTGATGTCCTTGATCAGAAACTGAACCATATAATGAGAATGAAATCCGTAGTTTCCACCATCTTTATCCATCAACCAACCACTAATGCTGTCCGTTTTAAAGGGTGTTGTATTATAGCCATTATGATGATAAAATTAGAGGTTATGACCACTTGGCTCAAGGTAGGTTGTGGCATGGCACGTAGTGATACTAATGGGCTTTGGTAGTTATTTAACACCGAGATCGTCCCAACTAAGATACAAACACATGCAAAATTAGTGACGTCAATCATAAATTAATATATAATAAATAATCTTACTCTCTCTTCTTGAAAACTTTCCATTTTGGTTTCTCGGTTATTACGTAACGTAGATTTGATAGGCTGTAATAAATATCATCCCAATAAAATATGATTTTAAAACAAAAGCCAAATTTATTCTCTTATTAGAAAAAATGATTAAATGTCCCTGGTAGAGGAGTCTAAAGACGTCATTACGTAACCATTATGTCGTTTGAAATTGCCAAATGTACCTTTGAAATATGAGAACGAAGTCAAACACATTATTGGTTCGCAATATACTAATGTTTATAGTAATAAAATGCGGAACATATGGAATAAAATGCGGAATAAAACGGATGTAGTAAACGAAAGAAGAAACAGAGAAATTCCCTTCTTATGGCTCGTTGGAATATGAAGATATTACCCAAAGAGGGTTGACATCAGACAAGCGGTCGATCGTAAAACTCACTCAAAATCCTTATGCAGCATGATATAGGTACGTACCGCGCCGCCCCACATTATGTGAGATAAGAGCAAAAAGAAGAAGATTATTTTATGCGACATTATAAAATAATCTTTGTGGTGCTGGAGAAGGATGCCCCGTATACCTTGGACTGAGCATCGCATCAACGCCTCGATCCTAAAAGAACTAAATATCTCTCAAAGGTTGTCGTCAACAGTGCAATCCAAGATTCTTCGATATTTTGGACACGTATCGCGACGGTCAGCAGACTCTATCGAGAAACTTGTTGCTCAGGGTAGGGTCAATGGTAAGAGATCTCGTGGACGAATCCCCATGCGCTGGACTGATCAAGTGAAAAACCTTACTGAAACCCCACTTAACGAGTACGTGCGCCCGGCCTGGTTCGCAAACTATGGAAAGCATCTGTCAAGGCTTTAATAAGCAAGAATTCCACATGACCACGACTGCTCTGCCAAGAGCAACCGATTATGATGATGATATTGCTTTAAAGCTCTGCTACCGTTTCTTCCAAGGCAGTACCCCAAGAAACTAATCAAGAATCCATTTTAACACTATACCGCCCCAAAAACGGAGCAAAGTTCACTCAAATTCCTGCGTTAAAACTGTAAATTTACTCCTATTATACATCGGTGTACGGTTTCTGATGCAAAGTAAACGGTGTTAACTGCCCTTTATAAATAAAACAAGCTAGTTCCAATTTTACTCCGTATACGCTACTAAACTGTGTCCCTACAATCGGTTATAAGCTATGTCACCTTCGACTTGAAAGCGAAAACCTCATTTGATCGACTAGACGTCGTAATCGCAGCCATTTGGGCTTAGAACAATCTACCGCTGATATCATCATCATCATCATCAACAGCCCATAGTCGTCCACTGCTGGACATAGGCCTCTCCCAATCCACACCACTGAGCCCGGTCTGCGGCTCTCCTCATCCACTTCTTGCCGGTCACCGTGCGGAGGTCATCGCACCACCTAGCCAAGGGGCGTCCCACGTTACGTCTTCCGCTGATAAAATCATTCAAAATACCTTGAGTTACTTGTGGCCTCATCAACCTTCTTTTTTAGGAAGTCTTTACTATTGACCAGACCCATTTTATATTGCAATTGGTAATTTTTATCGTTCCCTGAATCAGTTCTTTGTTTCTTGCATTAAGCTTTCGGTCATTTTGTATTGATTATTTTTTCACTTTCATTTTCAGTGTTTGCATATAAATTTGATTGTTTGGATGTCCCATTGTCAATGTCAATTCGAAAATTGTCTGCGGTTACAATATTGTTTTCGTGGCTTACAAACTTTTTAGTGATCTTTAGTCTTACAAAACGGGAATTAGTTCATTAAGTTCAGTGTAATGTGTTCTTAGTGTAAATTGACCTCAAATCGATTGTTATTCTTTTTGTTAACCATATTTTGTGTATACGAGATTCCTTATGGCAGCAGGTTAGACCACATCCAATATATTCTGGTTACGGAATGGTGTTTCATAGAAATCGGACCCTACCTATCGCCAAAAGGCAGCATTCGGTGAAAGCGATGGGCGCAAGTGTAGCGCTTGCTTCATGAAATGATACTATCTGGAAAACTGCGACTGTTAGCCCTATCACACGGACCCACATTGATGACTTTTAATATCCCGCAGCGAAACCTAAAGACAGGACCAAGTCTAGCATTCGCGGTTAGCGATGATCTCGTCTAGCATACTTGCTTCTTAATATATCCAAACAATCAGATAATCTTTATGATAATAATGGCTTTATATATTTTAATTGCCCTTGTAGGAAATCTGCTTCGTATAAAGTCTACCTTTGCTATGATGTATAACTCTATACCATTATTGAGGCGGGCTAATGTACATATTGATGTTGTCGTAATGTGGTACAACGATTACGTGTGAGTCGCTTTCATGTCGCTGGTGCTAATCATCCTGAAAAATCCAACATTATTTAGCGTAACATAAAACTATACCGACTATAACACCGTACCTAATATTTCAGTCACATCAATGTCTCATCAAAAGCTCAAAACTGAAAACATAATAATTAAAGTATTATTTCGTAAAATTAATTAATCCGCGTCGCTTTTGAAGGTGAATTTCCAACAGAAAGCGAAATAATAATGAATAGCAATAAGATTAATGGATCTTAAAGGCAATAATACGCTTAAAGAGTTTTTCGTTTGAAATTTCTGCGAAAACATTATCTAGGTACACGGCTTAGAAGTTAAATATCTTACAATTAAGTTGTTTTTTTGTTGACTAAATTTTTATTTGACCTCAATATCATAGCTATCAGAGTGAATTATTATATCTAGCCTGAAGCCATAGAAATTTGAATGAAAAATTTATCCAACTTTACATTCATCGAAAATTTTCTCTATTATAGTAATGGCGGCAGGACATCATATTTCCACGAAATCTTTATTTCACTAAGTCTTTTAACTAAGGTTTGTATGTATTTTGATCTGTCTAGGGAATCTACTAATGGCTATATACAAGCGACACCCTGAACTTGTTTCCATATCTAAGCAAAATGTTTTGGTATGGGTACAAAATTACACAAATTGATCGTACCATTAGATAGTTTTGATTTCATAATAAGCGCGACTATTTATTGAATGATTTTCTGTAGCTTGCTCGTAATATACAGAGAAATATATTAATTATCTGTTTCACATACTAGCCTGGGCCTATTGGCGTAATAATTTTCCTTTACCAACACCAAAAGCGAGCATAATTTTTGATTCCGCAGTCGAACAATAGAAATGAGGCTTGGAAGAAATTCACGTGTTCATTGTTTGAGTTCAGGTGTTTATTTCGGTGATTTAGGGCTTCGCGTATTGAACTTTGCACACAAAGGGGTCCGCTTTGAAAGCTTGTTTGTTATGTGAAATATTGAGACTCTGGTTTCGATAGCGGAAAATTCCTTTTATGATGGCAAAGCCCTAAGTTTGTTTTTCTTTTAAAAACACATTCAGGATTTCCTTAATAACAAAATTACCTACCTCTTTCGGAAGCACCATTTATTATTGTGAATACTGATATATGTAAATTCTAATAAACACAGTCCATAGATAGATACTGCCTACCATTTTGGGAACTTAAATACGAATTTTTTTGGTAGTCGTAAACTTAAATTAAACTACTTTTACGATTGAATCTAGAGTTTTTAAACAATTGCATAGCTTTTATCGCGGGCCTCGAGCGCGGCGACCGAATCATGAAATTCCGTAACGAAATAAACCTTACACCCCTCACTCCGACTACCATGTAGCTCGCGTTCAACACATTCACACGTTGCGCTTGTGTAGTGTTTGTGAATAAGCGCGTGGCGTGACGTCACACTGCATGCGCATCATGAAAAGCCTGCCCATCTCTCTCTCGCGCGGTCTAGCTTATGAGTGTGAAGGGGACAGTTAAGGTTTTGCTTTTATTAATGTTTAATATAGCGTGGTCTTGTTTTATTATTGTTTTAATATTAAATTATCATTGTCTAATTACAATTGCATAAGTTGATAAAAAATGCTATGCAATAGCATTACCGCGGAAGTTCCCGAGTGCCACACGTTTTTTTATTGTCATTTCGTTATCTACAACAATCGACAATCTACGACAAATTTCGTGGTTCATTAATGACCAAGGTGTTATTCCACATAACAAAATTAGTTCGTTGTATGTGAAATGCAAAAATTACAAGCCTACATTTTTTTCTTATAGACACATAGTCGTCTAAGACTAAAAAAATTGTAAAATATTCGCAACATTGGAAGTTATGGAATGATAATAAAAAACGCTAGATTAAACCGTACGATTACTTTTGATTTTGAAATACGAAATACGGAAAAGGCTTTAAAACTTCATGTTTCGAATCTTAAACGTTCCACAGTCGAACGAGTAGTTACAGTAACTTTTATTCTACTGTGGCGGGTAGTCATCATACAGCGCAAGATATTTGACAGATGCCTGAATCTTGCTTACAACATTTTCAATATAAGCTTGCATACATACAAGTTCCGAACAACGACATTCGGACGCGCGAGCTTAATGAGTTGGAAGCGGAGTTGGCGGCGAAGATTAGCTCCTTTCGGGGCTATACGTGGGAGGAACGGATTGAGGAGGCCCGGGAGGACCCCTCATCCGTGTCCCTCCACCGACTTTGCCGCCAGCTCTCAAATCGGCCTGCCTCTACTTGTCCACTTGTGGACGAGAGGGGCAACCGATGCTTCTCGGCTCAGGCCCGCGCCGATGTCCTGGCCGTAATGCTGGAGCGGCAGTTCGTTCCAAATGACTCTGTACCCTCAGAGGCCGCATTCCACCAATCGGTGGAAGAGAGCGTAGCGAACCTACTCTCCTCCCCGGTGCCACCGTTGGGAAATGATGATTTCATCACTCCCAGCGAATTGCGCCTCTCCATCAAGCGGATGAAGAGGCGCAAGGCGCCGGGTGAGGACGGTATTCCCTCCCTCGCATTCTTCCACTTCCCTGAAACGGTCGTGTCATACATGACACGGCTGTTTAATTCCATTCTGTCCACAGGACACTTCCCGGGAATTTGGAAATTGGGCAAGGTTATCGCCTTGCCCAAACCCGGCAAGGATAGGAGAAATCCCTCCAGTTACCGTCCGATCACTTTGCTGTCGCATGTGGGCAAGTTGTTCAAGAGGCTGCTGCTGAGAAGGGTGTCGCCGCACATCCTTCCCAGACCCGAGCAGTTCGGGTTTCGCAGCGGTCACTCGACAACGCTGCAATTGGTCCGCGTCATGCATCACTTGGCGGATCGGTCCAACGCGCGCCAGTACACGGCCGCAGTCTTTCTCGATATCGAGAAAGCCTTCGACCGTGTCTGGCATGCGGGACTGATCCACAAGCTGGTGCAGAACACGGACCTCCAGCACGCCTACGTGCGACTGCTGGGGTCGTACCTGGAGGGAAGATCCTTCTTTGTCGCGGTCGAGGGCGCCAAGTCGTCGGTGCGCCCAGTCACGGCCGGAGTTCC